CAAAAAACTCGGCACCACGATTTTTACAGTTCGAATCCGAACTCAAAGATAAGTGCATATTGCGCGACCAAGCCGTGCCGGGTTTTAGTAGCTGTTAGAAGATTTTAATTCCTGACAGCATCGCAATTACAAAGCAATGATCGATTTCTTCCAAATTTTTATGAAATTGGCGAAATACAAATAACTATTATCAAGCTGACGAAGAGGATGAATCCAAAGCTCGCTTTCTTCGGTCAATTCGTCGCAGTCGCTCGGCGCGTTCCTCGGATTCAGTTTGAAATGTCCGGAAGCAATCACACTTGATCCAGTGATCGTAACTCTGCAGCAGTGCATCCAGATGACGAATATACCGGATCGCTAGTCTTAGTGTGTCCACTTTACTAATACGACGATCGCTGAAAGTAGAGCCCCAATCAGAATTTTCCTAAAGCGCAGCAAAAGCTGGCCAGCAGGGGAGCAATGTTGGTCGAAACAACCATAAAATGAAGATGGAAAAAAAACCTTTCAGTGAGCGGTAAATGATTGCGAAGCCTTTCGTAACCATCATTTACGCAGCGAACCCGTAGGCGTTCTCGTTCATTACGTTTCCATACCGTTGTTCCAAAATTGCTTAATTTTCATGTTTTCAAAGCTGGTTACAAATTAACGATTACTGACAAACGGTTAGTACTGGCGTAATGACACACGAATAGTGCGCATGTATCGCAGCATGAGTTCCGTATTAATTTCAGCTAATTCAGCTCCACTTCTCATGAGAGTTAATTAAGCGAGGGATTTTGACTTTTTTGATTGATGTTATGGCGGCGATGCCTGACAAGACAGCAAGAGTTGGAGCAAACATATCGACGCTTAACATACAGTTGCATTTTATGATTGTGGTGCAGCCGGAGTTTAACGGTTGATGGAGTAAGCTGAACAGAGGTGAATAAAATAAAATATTTTTTGGTGAGTTTACTGGAAAGAGACCACATAGGAGCAGTGAATAAGTATTTACCCACGGTGAAGCGGAAATAAGTATTCCATTTTGTTTCG